GAGCCGGTGAAAATGCCGCCAGAGATAGAGGGAGTAGTTGCTAAGTACCCTGATCTATTTGAAGAACCGACAGGGGTTGTTGAGAGGGAGGTCATCCACGCGATAGAGATTATCCCAGGGTCTAGTATTCCAAGGGGTAGGATCTATCGGATGTCTCCAGGCGAGCTTGATGAGCTTCGCCGCCAACTTAAGGAACTCGTAGAGAAGGGTTGGATCCGGCCGAGTGTCTGTCCTTATGGGTCTCCAGTTTTATTCGTGCCTAAGAAGAAAGAGGGAACTCTAAGGATGTGCATTGACTATAGGGGCCTCAATGCCATCACGATGAAGAACAGTGAGCCCCTACCGCACATCGATGATCTGTTAGATAGAGTGCAAGGGTGTCGGTACTTCATTAAAATAGATCTGAAGTCCGGGTACCATCAGATTGCAATYCGGCCCGAGGATCAACACAAAACCACATTTCAGACCAGGTACGGACTATACGAGTTTGTGGTGATGCCTTTTGGTCTTTGCAATGCTCCTGGCACCTTTCTGCACGCTATGAATAGGATATTCCATGACTACTTGGATAAGTTTGTCGTCGTGTACCTCGATGACATACTTATTTTTAGTAAGACTGTCGAGGAACAGGTAGCACACTTAGACAAAGTTCTCAGTCTCCTGCGACAGCACAAGTTCAAGATCAACGGTGAAAAGTGCGAGTTTGGCCGCACCCGTATCTTGTACTTGGGTCATGAGATCTCCGCGGAAGGGTTGAAGCCCGATGATGCGAAGGTGGCCAGCATTCGTGATTGGCCACGTCCTCAGTCTGTGACTGAGATGAGATCTTTCTTAGGAATGACAGGCTACTATAGGACTTTCGTTAAGAATTACAGCATAGTGGCCGCTCCTTTGACTGATCTGACCCGCCTTGACACCCCTTGGGAGTGGACAAATGAGTGCGAGGCTGCTTTCAGACATCTGAAGCATGCATTGACGCACTATGAAGTCTTGAAGCTACCCGAWCCTGATAAGCCATTTATAGTAACCACGGATGCTAGCCAATATGGCATTGGCGCCGTGCTTGCGCAGCAGGAGGGGCCAAAGTTGAGGCCAGTAGAGTACATGTCCAAGAAAATGACGTCTCAGAAGTTGGCTAAGTCCACTTATGAGAAGGAGCTCTATGCGGCGTACAAGGCTCTCACCCATTGGAGACACTACCTCCTTGGGCGGTTCTTCATCCTCCAGACTGATCATCAAACCCTGAGATGGATGAGAACACAGCCAGTACTCTCTGACGCTCTCAAGCGTTGGATCGAAGTCATTGAGCAATATGACTTTGACCCTCAGTATCTTAAAAGGAGAGTACAACAAGGTTGCTGATGCCTTGTCGCGCAGACCGGACTTCTCAGGTGCGCTGATTACTGAGTTCGATCTGACGGACGATGTTACTCAGTCTTTGGTGGAAGYCTATCGTCAGGACCAGTTTATGTTTGAGATCATACGCAGACTTGAGGCGAAGGATAAAAAGACCTCCGCCGAGTTTGAGTTGGTCAATGGATTGCTGTTCCTAGAGAAGGCAGGGAATAAACGTTTGTGCGTTCCAAGTAGCGAATCTTTGCGTAGTTTGTTTTTAGGCGAGTGTCATGATGCCACCGGCCATTTTGGGTACAAGAAGACCGCAGCCAACTTGCTGCAGCGGTTCTGGTGGCCAACGATGATGAAAGATGCACAGCTRTACGTGGAAAYTTGTCAAGTATGCCAAAGAAACAAGCCCCGTACTCAGGCGCCTCTTGGGCTGCTCAAGCCCCTTCCGATTCCGGAAAGGCCAGGTGAAAGTTTATCCATGGACTTCATGGMTACGCTGGTCACCAGCAAGAGTGGGATGAGACAGATCTTTGTCATCGTGGATAGGTTTAGTAAGTTTGGTAGATTAATAGCTATGCCAGAAACAGCAAAGACCGAATACGTGATCAGGCTATTTAAAGAAAACTGGGTTAGAGACTTTGGACTGCCGAAGGCTATAGTCAGTGACAGGGATGTCAGGTTCACAAGTGAACTATGGAACGCTGCAAAGGCCGCTGCAGCTGAACAAGGAACGCAACTGCAAATGACTTCTGGAAATCATCCAGAAGCTAATGGCCAGGCTGAACAAATGAACCGCGCTGTGCAACACCTATTGAGGCACTACATCAAGCCCAATCAGGTAGACTGGGACAAAAAGCTTGCTCTAGTCGCTAGTCTATATAACAACGCTGTGCACAGTGCTACCGGGACGAGTCCTAACAGTCTACAACTGACATTCAAACCTAGACTGCCCTTAGATTTCCTACTTCCAGACATCCAGCCAACTGCTACACCGGGCACTCTGGAGTTCGCCTATAGATATGAACAGAAGATGCAGGAGGCTGTAGAACACATGCAGAAGGCACAGGCAGCAATGATAGAGTCTGAGAATAGACACCTCCGCCCTTCTACATTTCAGGTWGGGGACAGAGTCTGGGTCAAATCTACAGAACTGGGACAGGAGTTCGGGATATCCCGCAAACTCATGCCTCAGTACTTTGGACCTTGGGAAGTTTTAGACGTAGTAGGGACAGATCCTGATGGTCCATCATATGTCATCCGTATCCCTGGTCATCTCAGAACTCACCCAGTCTTTCACACCTCTAAGCTCGCTGCATTCAAGGAAACTGACCAGTTTCCCTCTCGTCGATCCATGCTGCCCCCAACCATGGACGGAGAAGTCGACATCGATGATATCGTTGACCACAGGGAGATGCCAGTTCAAAAGCCTCCAGGAAGGGGTCGTCCTCCAAAACCAAAGCTGCAGTTCCGAGTGCACTTCAGACATCATACAGATCCAAAGGAGGACCGCTGGTTTACTCGGGAGGAACTGATGCAGACCACTCCTCAAATCGTTGCCCGCTATGAGAAGGATGCACTGAAAGGAAAGCGCCAGATGGCTATAGATTGATCTTCGAAGAGGACTAACGAAGATATGGAGGAGGGAATGCGAGGCTACGCCCGCTTAGCCCCTACGAGGCCCTATCTGCAACAAGGTCGGCCGCCCTAAGTGAAGGCAGGCACGACAGGCCCTTCAGGCCTCATTCTTCAGGGTACCCCGCAATGGGGAAATTCAGACAGTTGCATTGCGCCAGTTGGTTGAATGAATCCAGGCCCTGGGCCGCCTGTGTAAATGAATG